ACACACCACAGTGGTTGGTGACCTGTCGGGCTCCTGGGCTGTGTAGGGTCTCAAGAAGATTGGGACCTGGGGTTTGTTAAGTGGACAATGATCCTGCCAGATTACTCCAACCTCTCGTCATGACATTTAAGAAAATACTATTGCGTAGAAAATAAACAATTTTAGTGTTCATAAGGCAGGGAGGTACGTGTAAGTTAGGTTAAGTTAGGTTAGTTTAGGTTAGGTTAGGTTAGGTTAGATATGGTCTGCGTTAAGGTGGAAAATACAGGGACTAATTATCCAAGTTTATTTCAGAAAACAGGAATAGAATTAACTAAAAAACATATATATATTTTTAATGAACAATTGATGTTTACATATAACTATTTTATATTTGAAAGTCGAGAATTTAATCACTCAGTTTCATTGGTTAGAGGTCACGTAAAATTAACTTGCCGTGTGGAAATTTGACTAAAATTGAATTAATTATAAATCCATATCATAAAGGTTTATACGATTATGTAGGCATAATAATAAATACATTTTATATAAGGCCAATTGCCTGGTGCACACAAATACACCATGTACACTACACACTTACACACACGAATATACCACACACACACACACACACACACACACACACACACACATACAGTAAAACTTTGAGTGTCACAGTTTGCCCTTCCTGACATGGGAAACTAACCTAACCTAACCTAACCTAACCTAACCTAACCTAACCTAACCCCCTAGATTGTGTTTAGGTGTTTTATCATCTGGTTGCAAGGGATGAATTTTTTAGTTGAACCATAAATTCTCACTAAAGAACTACTATTCGTGAACGACTCAATATACTGTACGAAATGACTCGTTCGTTATACCTTGTGATATACGGTAATTAACTATCACATATAAATCACAACTATAACCAAAGAAGTTAGTGTATATTTCACCTGTAAAATATAACCAATGGCGTTTTGTATCGTTGGCAAGATATATTTCACCAACACGGGATGACCAATGGCGTTAGAGTATTACCATATAAATATATTTCACCAGTAGGATAGACACGATACAGTAAATCTTTTTCGGGTTTATTTCTTATAATTCTTAAGATTCACAGAGATTCGTAGGATATTAATTCCTCGTAACTGAATAAGTCAAAATCTAACAGACTGAATTAAGCCAAAACACCAAAGTAACGTACAGAAACAATGTCACTATTATTTTAAAGACTAACTGACCAAACTGACTGACTGACTGACTGACTGGTGACTGTGTGGGTTTATAAGTCCATCCGTCCGTTCTTTCACATGTCCGTCCGTGAGTCTTGAAACAACGTCCTTACAATTGAATCTTGTCCTTCATAACTGTGTGTTTTATTTTCGTCTTCTTCTCTCCTCCTTCTCCTTCTCCCTCCCCTTTCTCATCCCCATCTTGTTCCTTCTCTTCACTTTTGTTTTTTCACAGTCACCCCTTCCACCCCTTCAAAAAATTTCATCCAACCCGTTCCTTCCCTCCAAACAATTTCCTCCTGTCACACACACACACAGACACACACACACACATACACATACACACATACACACACACGCACACGCACACACACACACACACACACACACACACCCTCCCCTCTCACGACAATACCAACCCATTTCCAAACCTCCTCCCCCATCCATTTCTCCCCTTCGTATCACCCCTCTCCCCATCCCTCCTCAAATCGTGATACCCTTACCACAAAACTAATTTTCTCCCCCATTTCCGCTCATCTCCAAGGGAATTATCAGACCAGGATGGCAATATCGCTGTCATCATTTCAGTGACGCAATACTCATAGTCTATTTCTAGCTTAGTTATCCCTCAATTATTGCGTACGTATTTTTTATTCTTCTTTCGGCTTCCATTCCGTTTTCTATGGTGGAACTTGTCCTATCCCTCTCTAACCACTTTATGAAGACAAATGAGTAATGCCATAGGAAGAAAATTAGGTCCATAGGGAATTGTGTATGGGCGGGTATGGTAGTTACTCAAGTTACCTATTACATTATTTCAGTGCTCTCTCTCTCTCTCTCTCTCTCTCTCTCTCTCTCTCTCTCTAATAGGCACAATTCCTATTAAGTGCCAACCTAAATCCCAACCAATAGGACTGAGGGCTAGCACTACCCCCTCCCCGAGTCTTAATTGGCCTCAGAGTCTATATAACATTAACCACAGGAAGTGTCCCAGTGGGTCCTGTACTAATGATCCTTACAGCCTTAATGAGGCTCTCCTGGGTTCCACTCTTAATGATCATGTTAGGTTTGATTATGGCCTATTAGGGCTGTGGCGGCTCATAAGACCTAGGACTCAATAGGGTTAGGCTACATTGGACCTGGGGCCCAATATGAGCTCAAGTTATGACTCTCAATAGGGCAAATGTTATCACTTAAAAAATAATTAATCATTGTTTGTTTATGAAAATAATATCACTTAATGTTCACGTTTTATCTTATGAACTAATGAAATGTCTACAGAAAGTCTCCATAACAATTCTGAAGAGTATTTATCTAGCATTTACCAAGTTATCATACACATTTTTGGTAACTTTGACCTTTGACCTAGCAAGTGTGTTCCTGGCGAGACGTAAGGTCCAGGAATATAATGCACCATACTGCGGTTCTTCATTCCGGAGTTTTCATGAATAGGTGATTTTTGACCTTTCGATGACCTTGACCTTTGACCTCCCCAAAATTTTTACTGTATACCCAATATAGGTCAGCCACATTTATTTAAGATATAGTTGAGATATTCTTTATTACATTATTTGTGATGGTTAGAAAACACATACAGATAGACACAGACACACAAACACACAGACAGATGTACACACACACACACACAGAGACACACACGCACACACTCTATGGCGGACCCTGAAAATCTCAGTTACAAGGAAAAATCGAGTTAGACTTTGATTTCAACCCTATTTTCTTCAGCCATATTGTCTTTCAACTAAGTACAAATCAGTGTATCTGTAAATTAGAACACATTGAAGGAGATAATTATATTTTAGCAAAGATTAAATGTTTCTCGAGTGATTTATTACGACTTTATATATCAATTAAGTTTATTTACGTTATTCGGTAATTACAAAGTTGAAGTGAACGCCGGTAGTTTGATAGTGTATAGGATAGTTCATCGTCTGACTCAAATAATACTAATATAACCATCCACTAACACTCAACCATCTACCAACACAACCATCCACCAACACACAACCATCCACTAACACAACCATCCACCAACACAACCATCCACTAACACAACCATCCACCAACACAACCATCCACTAACACAACCATCCACCAACACTCAACCATCTACCAACACAATCATCCACTAACATTCAACCATCCACTAACACAACCATCCACTAACACAACCATCCACTAACACAACCATCCACTAACATTCAACCATCCACCAACACAACCATCCGGGAAACATGATAGAACACCACAACATTACTACTCACACACGCTTCATTACACCACTAACTCCTACACCTCTAAGATTCCACACCTGTTAATTTGTACCTTGTTTAGAGGTGTAGTGATGATGGTGGTATGTGATGGTGGTAGATGATGGTGGTAGATGATAGTTGTTAGGTGATAGTTGTATTTTTATCATGATTAGAATTGTCATGTTAATATATACTCGTTAGAGATCTAGAAGCTAGTGGTGGTAGGTAATGGTGGTAGATGATAGTTGTAGATGATAGTTGTAGGTGACTGTCGTGTGTGTTATCATGGTTGAGATTATCATGTTGCGGTGTATGCTGCATGATGGCTCGTATATAACAGGATATAACCAGTGTGTTTTGTCTGTAGCGTCTATGATCAAAAGTCGTTTGTTATCATGAAGGAATTTTATATAATACCATTTTCTTTTCTTTTAATCTGTATTACTGAAGGTGGAGATTGTTCTTGTTTTTATTTATGCTTTTGTTTTTCTATGTTTTCTCGTCCAGTAATTCTTTTGTTTGTATTTACATTGATATTACAGGTTAGTTCCCCCTCAAGCTTTTATTATTCGTATTTATTCAAGATTTATCGATAAATATTGGAAATAACTCAATGTTTTAATACTTGTTGGGGTTAAATTATATCTTTAGTTAGACTTTTATTATTATTATTATTATTATTATTATTATTATTATTATTATTATTATACCATCTTACGTATTTGATCAATAAGTTATTAAAATGATTGAGTCTCCATTTCCATATAATAATCTTGTCGAGGAATGTTAAATTACCTTCATAAAATATTGATTACTTATACAGTAGACCCATCCGCTTATAGATACAGAGTTACATCATTAATATTTAAAGACATTAATATGATATCTTTCCCTCAAAACTAATGATGTATAGTATTTAGAATTTCGTTGAATCGCGTCAGTTAGGTTGGGTTAGGTTAGGTTAGGTTAGGTTAAAAATTGTGTTTATACTCTTGCATTATTATTATTATTGTTATTTATTATTATTGTTGTTATTATTTATTATTATTATTGTTATTGTAGTTGTTGTTGTTATTATCGTTGCTGTTGTTATTATTATTATTATTATTATTATGTAAGAGTAGTATTATATGTATCAACAATAACGTCCTTACTCCTTGGTCGTGGTTAGAGGCAACTCCAGCCGGGTGTTGGTGACTCTGGTGTACAATAGAGCGTAAATCCTGTTGGCGTATATCAAACAGCCACACAGGAGGTCTATATCCCCCAACGTTGGATATTGGTTTTTGATATAAAATGTGAAGTAAAACCCTTATTACCTATATTATTCTCACTGGGATTTTAAGACAGCTTATACCAACTCGTGCCAACTCATACCAACTCGTACCAACTCGTACCAATTGCCAGTCTACAAGATGTACTCATAAACTTATTGTAACTCAATTAAATCTTTCTTAAACTCTCATTAATGACTGTTGATTTAATTCATCTCTGTTTATCTCTTTATTCTCCACAGATGATGACACTGTGGCAAACACGACGCCCCGAGCTGGTGTTATTGGCTCTGACGATAGTGGCTACGAGACCATCCCTGGCAGAGAAGAGCAACTCTGGTGGTGTAAGGTTAGTGTCGCCCGTCGGGAGTGATGGGATGGTCCCCACAATCACCCCCACGTGGCATTACAGCAAGTTTTTTGATCAGTCTATAAATTTAGTTTCCAATGGCCAGTTTGATGGTAGGGATATGTTGGAAGCAGGGCTCTCAGGGGCTTTGTCAGTTAAAGGATAAAATGATGGTCCTGTAAATCACGACGTGTCATGGATTTAGGAAATCTGGTTAAGAGGGAAGTCTTAGAAGCTGGTGAATGGATCCGTCCCGCAAGGCTGGAATAGGCAGGAGTGAGAAAGACTCATTCTAGACGAAGTAAAAAAACTAAATTTATGTGTTACATAAGACCAGAGGAGTCTGGTTGGTGATGGCGGTGCTGGGGTGAAAACCCAACCGGTTTCGACTTCTTTATTGATTTCCAATAGACACTTTCTATGCTAATGGCGACATAGTCTTCCCTAAGCCACAATAGCACCTGAAAGGGCGTGTGCCTGTAAACAGTGACGGACATTGAAAATAATTATCTTTTGGGGTATTTTTGGTTTGATGCAAAAGGCAGGATTATACGACCCGAACTTGACTTGGGAGGATAAGAGGAAAGGTGTTTATCCCACCAGACGTTGATAAGGAAATCCTTTTATTTTTTTTCCTCGACGATTTCGCGAGGAGACGTGCCATCAGGATACAGAGGGCTTTTGGTTCCCTCTTCAGGGCGTGAGGAGAGCGGGAGGAACCCTACCGGAAGAGGATAGTGGCTGTGTGGGGGTCAGGATTGAGAGCTGTCGACCATGCGAGAGGAAACTTCACAAAAATTAAAGTGTTTTTCCTAGTGTATAAAAAAGTATATACACAACAAAAAGTTTTATTTCTATATTTTTAATTTCACTGATTTACAAAAAAAAAATATACAGTATATAACAAAAACACTAAAATTAATTCCCAAAATGTTCAAGTCAGATTTACATATTTAAATTTATATATACTACTCCTTAGTGTTTTTTCTAATTTATTTTTTCGTTGATTTTATTTTTAGCCCCGCCAGGTCCCGCCGATGACCTGTGCTGGGGTGAGATATTCCCCATAAAAATAAATAAATAAATAAAATAAATAAATAAATGAGAACACGCTTAAAGTTCTTCGTTGTTGAAGTAGATACCATTAACCATTAACCGCAATATTATTTAGCATCAAACCTAAATAATATATCACATTCTGTCTCCTACTAAGAGCTTATAAGAAATAAAATATTTCTGAATAGTCTAACAGCGTAAAATAATAATGCAGAATCTTACTGTCAATAGCAGATGGTACTTGGTATGGCTTTCATATCCTTGAGCCATTCATGAAGACTGAAGGATATCTATTGATTTTTTTTTTTCGTGAATGCAGTAGAATGAAGAAGTGGTTTCATTTATATTTTGGTAGGAAGGAAATTTAGTTGTTGTCAGGGAATTTTAAATATGAGGGTCTGATATGATGTGATCAGTTTCTTATTTTGATTAATTATTTCTCTTTCACACTTGTTGATTTTTTCCCGTCATCCTTGATTATTCTTTTCGTCATGCTTGATTATTTTTTCCCGTTATGCTTGATTATTTTTTCCCGTAACGCTTGATTATTTTTTTTTCCGCCATGCTTGATTACTTTTTTCCGCCATGCTTGATTACTTTTCTTCCTCCACGCTTGATTGTTCATTTACGCTACATTTCAAAATTCATAAAACTAACAATATATATTTTTTACAGTCAATATTACATGATAACTTCTGATTTTCACGTAACAACAAATATTAATAATGTATTACAGTACTATGGTATCAGGTATTAATCATCATATCGTCAATGGTAAGTTTATCGTGGGTGTTTTTATCATCAGAAGAAATAAAATGGGAGGGTTGATTTACAGGTGATTAATTCTTTCATATTGTAGAAAATTCACACATACACAATATAAATTATCCTATTTCCTTCCTGATCGACTCTCAAAGGACTCTTAGGGATTTTATATCAACTCTCCTACACCTCATAAGTCCTATCGTGGTGATCCTAGTGCCATCCTTCAGGTCTTGTCGCAGTAAACATGATAGAGGAAGTTAGGTCATCAGGGAGAGGAGGTCATTGGTCAGAGCTTAGTGTGGGGAAGTAATGGTCAAGTTAAGTAATAAATAACCCCTCTGTCTGTCTGTCTGTCTGTCTGTCTGTCTGTCTGTCTGTCTGTCTGTCTGTCTGTCTCTCTCACACACCGTGATATAACACCTTTAAGCATCCCTGTTCATTTTGTTATCATATTACCTTTCCATTTCATCAATAATTCCTTACAAGCGAAATACACTGTGATAATTATTGATATATAGCCGGTGTATTGTACTCTTGAATCCCATCATCATCATCATCATCATCATCATCATTACTATCATTGTCATTACCATCATTTTTATTTTCATTATATACGCTGTATTTCATTGTATTAAAAAAACTTTACGAATTACGCTGAATTTATTGGAATCTGGAATTCAATAAAACTTCCCGATGCCCAGAAATAAACCTGAACTTATCGTCTATATTCTCTCACCCGACAACACAATGTTAAAGATTCACTGAAATTTGACAACAGGGTAAGAAATAGGGATAAAATCTCGACCAGTCTCCAGCGGCGCGCAGTATTTCTGGCTAGACCGTATCAGTAATTGTGGGTCGGGGAAAAAAAAAAATCTGGACATAAATTTGGCGATTTTAACCAGTATTGGGGTGGGTGGGTGGGTGGGTGGGTGGGTGTGTGGGTGGGTGTGGGGGTGGGTGTGTGGGTGGGTGGTGGGTGGGTGGGTGTGTGGGTGGGTGTGGGGGGTGGGTGTATGTGTGTGTGTGAACCTAATTATGCCGTCTAGTAACCTAATCTAATCTAACCTAACCTAACCTAACCTAACCTAACTCCTTAAAAAACGAAAATACAAGAAACTGTGTAAAGAACGATGACTAATATCTTCTACTCTTGCGCAAAATACAAAACAAAAAAACCTTATCAGTGAGGTCAGGAGAGGCGAACACTGCACTGATCAAACGAAATTCCCCCTAAAATATTATATAATCATTTGGTTTGTTAGATGACTATTGCCTTAGGTATAAAACTGCTATAGTTCACAGCTGGGAATGAATATGAAGTGAAGACTATTTATGCTCTATCAAATTAAGAAAGGATTTAGGAAGCTTATGACTTGTGTTCCCGCGAGGCTTTTCAACCTAATAACTAAGATATACATTTAACTACTCAGAATCGACTCAAAATAATATCTGACCTGTGTTGTATTCAAATTGGATAAGTGTATCAATTTTTCCACTAGAGATCCAGAGAGGGCCTTCCCACGGGTCAAGTGTAAGTGCATGAGGACTCAGGGGTACTCGGTGAAAACAGCTGCTGCACTGGTCAATATAAAAATGGGTATGGAACCGAAGACGCAATGGTCAAAGGTGAATGTTTATCGCTGTACCGCCGACGTCTTGATGTTTGATAAAGGTTGAAGGTAGGGTTAGGTTAGGTTAGGTTAGGTTAGGTTAGGTTAGGTTAGGTTAGATTAGGTTAGGTTAGGTTAGGTTAGGTTAGGTTAGGTTAAGATAGGATCGAATAGGTTAGGTAAATTCATATTAGACTAGGTTAAGTTAGGTTAATTCAAGATAGGTTATACTGGTAGGTTATATTAGGTTACGTTAAGTTAGGTTAGGTCTGATTAGGTTTGGAGTAGGGGAGGTTAATTTAGATCAAGTTAAGTTGGGCTGGATTCTGATTAAGTTGTTCAATTAAGTTAGGGAATAGTCATATAACAGGCAAGTTCCTTTAGGTTATAGTGACGGTAAATCAAATTAAATTATACTAATATTAACTTAATTAACTTTATATCAGGTTAATGGTGAATTAATAACAGGTAGAGTACAGCTCTCGGATTCTTGTACCCTCCAGAAGCAACGTAGCTAAACGAGGCTGAACCATCACCCACTAACTGCCACACACCTCGTTATACCTGTAATAAACGAGGAGATTTAACGCTTTGTATAATCTTTTCTTTCTCCTTTGGCGAGCTTGGTGGGCGGCTGAGGTTATGGCAGAGTCGAGAGCAGGAGATTTATGGTTAATGGGTGGAAGCTGTTGTGTTATGGTAAGGGGAGGAGAGACGGGAAGGACGGAGAGAAGAGAGGGGTGAGGGAAGTGAGGGAGGGAAGTGGGGGAGGGGGGTAGACAGACTTATTCATAACTCCCCAGTCCCCCAGTTCCCGAGTCTTATCCCCCCCTAAGTCTCAATTCCCCCCTCCCTCCCCCAGTCCCCGAGTCTTATCCCCCCCTAGTCTTATCCCCAAGTCTCAATCCCACCTCTCCCCCAGTCCCCGAGTCTTATCCCTAAGTCTCAATCCCACCCCTCCTCCCCCAGTCCCCGAGTCTTATCCCCCCCTAAGTCTCAATCCCCCCCCTCCCTCCCCACTTTTTAGCCTCTTCTACTCCCCATCATCACCCTTCTCCCCAGCCTTCACCACAGTCTGTCCTTTAAAGAGTTATTCTGATTTCATAAATAATTAATTCTCAGTTTATCAATTTTATTTATATATTCATTCTATTCATTTATTTAAGTTATGTATTCATCTTATTAATTATTTATATATTTATCATTTATTTATTTACGCTTCCGGAGAGAGTAAAATATTTTTGTCAGGTATAAACTTTGGTATTCGTTCGTCTACCTGTATCACACACCTGGACAAAAAAAAAAATCACAATATTCAGGTATCAGAATTTAATCCCATCAAGTTTCTGAACCAATCATCAAAATTTACACCAGACAATAACAATTATAAACTAAATATTTCCTTCATATTACACTTCAACATAACCTAACCTACACTTCAACCTAACCTAACCTAACCTAACCTACTACACTTCAACCTAACCTAACCTAACCTATTACACTTCAACCTAACCGAACCTAGCCTAACCTATTACACTTCAACCTAACCTAACCTAACCTATTACA